CAGTTGTACCTTCTAACAGTTCATTCTCTTTATTAAGGAAAGTAGCTAACGTTTCCCTTTAGAGACTGTGATGTTTGGCACAGGGGAAGCAGGGATCATGTTCCCCTCCTTACAGATGGGGACACGGTAAAAGAAAGAAGTAAAAGCTACATCTGGACAGATAAACTAAATATGGCTCCAGCATAATACTAAACCTCAATCTTCTACAGTAAAGGACAGGCAGGTTTCAAACCTATGTCATTCACAGTTCAGGAGTCACCATGGGCTTTGATCCATTAGTCAGGAGATCTTGCATGTTTTGACATTTAAAAGAATCAAAAACTAAAGATGTGGTTTATTATAGTTGGCTACCTTGGCAGAAAATTATCCTGGCAGCTTTTACTTTCTACTGAGTGTATAGCCCAAGTAATGTTCCCAACATCATCAGCAGACGAGTGGTACCAAGGCAAGAAAAAGGCAAGGCAAAGCAAAGGTCTTCTGAATCTCAGCCTAACACACTTCCTGTGTGAACACAAGTCACTTTTTTCTTTAAAATTTTAAGTATTCACTCTCAGATAGTAGGTGAAGAATACTGCAATACATTTTAAACTCTATTTTTACCTAAATGTTGTTTTCGTGGTATTTAAAAGACATTAATTTCATCTATGAAAAAGACTTTTTGATCCTACTGAAAGCTTCAGATTATCCAGAATAAGTAAAGCGCAAAAGAACTTGAACAAAGAGTCCAAATAGTTTAAAAACAGAATAAACATTTTTTAGAATGATTGGTGAAAATTTTTATTAAAGGTATTTGGATCAGGCAGGTTCAATAGCTGTTAAACTTTGGCAGAGTTTTGTCCAATGTTAATATGTAACACATAATTGGGGTTTAAGATCTAGATCTGGCTCTGGAAATGGGCTGGCTTAAGTATGAAGTGAGGGCAGAATACAGAAATAGGACTGTTTGCCTGTTTGTTTTTTTTCAAATATGCATAGACCTATTCAATTACACTGAGATGATTACAGGAGCTAAACACTTACTGCTTTTTTAGAGTAACAGATGGTGCTGTTGAAATTTTTGCTGTGTTAAAATATTTCAGTTACTTTCTTGATTAATAAATAATATTTACAGTAGTATTTGAATTAGGCCATGCCTGTTAATTTTGTTGTTCATAAATATAAAGTCTATTAAAAAAGGGGACTTAGGGCACTTCTTTTTCTCCTTTTGATTGTTAATTGTAAGTGCTTATGACATATAATATTCTTGTGGTGCTGTTGTTATTCTTTCAGTGCTCAAGGCACTATAATTTCTTTCACAGTGGGGGATACATTATTTATTGTTTTTATTTATAGTTAACAGGATCTGACTCTGTCATATATATTTTTCTAAGCTTCTCTGCTCTTGAGTCATCAAAATCACCCAGGGAGAGATTTACAGTAAATCAGAGCAGACGCTTTCTGTACTTGCCTTTCCCCTCTAACTGTGTTGTGTAAGTCTTATTTAAATGTGCTTCTGGAGGTAATTTTAGTGTGGGTATATTTAGTTCTTTTTATATTTTCAGCAATCTTGATAAAACAAAAGATCCCTCATGCGCAATAAACTTGTGTATTCAGAAGTGAAGTGTAGCACTTAAAGCTGCCCCAGTTGTGTTGGTTTGGAGGATATTATAGGTTACTTATTCACTTAAGTCCAAAGACAGCCTGAGCCAATCTAATAAGGCCATAAATTAGAAATGCTCTTGGCCAAATAAATCAGGACTTACACCTTCACCTTCAGCGAAATGACTCCAGTTTCACAGTAGAAAGAAGATCGACAGATTTTGGCTGCCTAACTCAATGTTGTTTCTTAACTGAGTATATCAGTGCTCTAGTTACAGCTTTAAGGATTTTTTGGAAGACATGAATGTGAGACAGGAAAGTTCAAGATCAATTTACAACAGTGACATGTTTTCTTACCCTATGTTTCACTGAGCAGATGGGAAGAGCTTGGGGAGGGCATGAAGTTCAGTCATGTCTGGATAAAAGCATTAACTGCAAAATTGTTACAGATTCTCAGCACGTTCTGTAAGTGGCCTTTTTCTTTCACACATGATTTTGAAATGGAAGGATATTATATCTCAGGATATAATGCTGAGAAATATGGGTTTAGTTTTTATTTGCATATAGGGAGGAAAGCTAAAATAATGCATCTATGGGAAAAATAGTACTTTTGGGTTATTTTCCTACAGTTGTGAATTGATGCATAACTTCAGAAATCACTGTAGTTCCCCAGATGGGAGTTAGATGGAAGTTGAGCACTGTGAGTCAGCTTCACCATCCTTAAACCTCAACTCAGACAACTTACTATTCTGGAAGCACTTGAACTATGGAAGTGACTTGGTTTTCAGCACTAGAGTTCTTCACATACCTAAAGTCTTGCTTTGTGTCTGTCCGAGAGTGTCCCAGTTTTAACAAGGCTAGATAAGTTTGTATAGCTTTGGGCTGGCTTGGACCTACAATTTAGATGCAACATTACCAGGAAACTTGAAAGAATTCTATCCAGCAGACACACTGTGAGGACACTTACAAAAATTTCAGTCACACTTGCCATTTTTGTAAGACGATGTGTTTCAGTGCATTCCTTTTATACAGAAGGGTCAGTGGTTCGAGCATAAGTTTCAGACCCAGAGGACCTGGGCTTCAGTCGCACTCTGTCTGAAATAACTCAAAGCCACTTTTCCTATGATTTGCCCTAACTAGGAAGCAATTGGCTATGTGTGGCCTGGGACAGTCAAACTCTACAGTAAATCCTATTTTAACAACTATTTGAACTCATTTTAAAGCAATTTCACTATGGGGAAACCCACTAAACCTACTAAAATAGGCATTGTACTGCAGCAAAAAGAAGAAGAAGAGAAGGGAAGAGTGAGAGGGAGAGAGAAGGAGAGAAGGCTCACCAACTCCGTAGTTAAAAACCTCATTTCATAGATGATGTTGGGAAGTTCTGGGTTCCACCTCTTGCTCTAAGGCCCTAAACCTCGACACATCTTGGAAAAAATATAAATGGAGCATAAGTTTAATTTATCTGTGAAATTTAAACACAACTTGAGGGAGGTTTCTTTTCTCTGCTAGTTTAGATTCTCTGGTTTTCCATGTTTTAGCATTATAGCTCTTGGCTCAGCATGCTGGTTATTATGGATCATCTTGTAAGGCTCTTTCCTGTCTCCAACTGCTGTTTGCAAAGGTGTCTAAACATTAAGGTGTTCAGTTCTGTGATATCCTGGTGCTTCCTTAATATTGTTGTTAGTCTGCATGTTTGTTTTCCCCGTCTGGCATCACTACCCGTAATCATGAGGGGCCAGTCTCACCATATTTCTCTAGGAACAGTTTTAGGAAATACAGCTTTTATACCCCTTCAGGTAATGTTAAACATTTATCTGCAAAATATGTGGAGATATCTTAGATTTCCTGGGAAAGCTACTAAACAAAAAAAAATATATATATTTAGCAAAACAAACGGGCAATTTCTGGCCAGCATTCTGGCCAGAAACTGCAATGTCAGAAGACATAGGTGCCCATAGAGTTCATGGAAGTCTTGAGAATTTAGGCTAGTTAGTCAAATTCAATTTCGAGGGCAGCGCTCTGATTATTTCATGGACTGGACTATAAAATTAAGCTGAAATTACTGTATGCTGAGAAGGGACCCTGGCTGTTTGTTGCAATTGAGAATATTTTGGGATGGGTTTATGACAACGTTTACCCAATTTAAGAAAGAAAAGAAGTTGTACAAAGCACTATTTATGTGCTTCTCACACAGGTGTAACACACCAGGCAAACAAATCTGCTGCTCTGCTTGTAACATGTATGCAGAAATAGGGCAGCCACCACCTGTGTATCTATTGAAGTTCAGATCATGCCTCATTGAAAATAGAGCTGCATTTGGTTTCCATGGGGTGGAAGAAAGTTAGTACTTGAGCAATTCACCACCTAATTCACTAATCACTGATAAATAAGTTAAGTAATTTACACCCTGACTACAAAATGAAGTATGCAACAGTGATAGTAGGCAAAAGACCCTAAGACTTTTTAAGATAAATTCACAGAGAACTCCTGCATAATTGCAGTGCTCAAGTACAACAACTGAGTTTCTTGTACACCATTCTCCTGGGCTGAAGTAATACCTTTCTCCCGGGGACTTAAAAACTCTTTACAAATACCACTGTGTTTGTTTAGTTAAGGTTCACAATATGAGCTAAATATTTCTTTGAGGGCAGAAAGCAAAGGAATCTATTGGATGGAGGTTAGAGAAGCCATGAAGCCAGAGATGTGAGAGGGGCTGATGGATACAGAGGTGTTTGAATGTCTAGTCAAAGAGAAATATTCCCTTTCTGAACTCTGTTTCCTCTTCAATACCACTTCACCTTTGGGATAAAGGAGAAAGATGAGGTACAGAAAAAAACCTACTGTTAATATTATATGTATCAGATAATGGTTTAAAAAGACTATCCTCTCAGATTTATTTGGTGAGTAAAAGAGTATAAAATTATTAGGACTCAGAGCATAGCTTTTCTAGTCCACCATTATAAGCTTGGCAGCAAAAACATCAGGCCAAAAGCTGGTGAATGTTCAAGATCAAGAAGAATAGAGAAGAGGGAGAAGAGATGGAAGAGAGGAATGAGGCGCAGATGGGGAAGGGGCATGCAGCAGTAGGGGAAAGCAGAAGACAACACTTTGCAAAAAGCCTGACACAAATTTGTTTTGTCAGATGTGCCTCTGTAGCAGGAATCAAAGGAGTTCAAGTGCTTCAGCTTTCTTCTCCTTGACGTACTGAGCCTCTCTCCCTTTTTGCACACTACTTTCCAGGGCCACCCCAAAGGTGAGCCCTTTGTTTTGGGAGATCCACAGACTCTAAGATCCTACTGCTCATAATCTGCTGTACTAATCCAACACATACTGCTGGCTCGAGTACACATACATTAGTCTTGCTAAAAACCTTTGTTTTAAAGAAAGAAAAAAGGAAAAGAACAAAAAATTAATCAAACCTCAGTGATTATATTCCAGCTGCTGAGCTTCCAGTAAAATTCCCAGCACATGTGTTCGTGTTTTTCCTTTTATTTCAGGATTTACTGTGGAAAGGGGACATAAACTGAGTGAATGTGGGTGAAACTCCATCTTTTCTAATAAGTTACATATGTTTACATGAGTACTTGAACTACGCTATGCCACGATATGATTAGTTTGACAGGAAATAAATAGGTGGATAGATATCTCTCTTGCTAGTTGCAACGTGACTTCTCTCTTCCCAGTACTGTTTAATACTGTGAAATATTAAAAGGAAGGTAAATACAAAGCAGACATTTCTGACCTCTGCCTAGTGCTCTTCTTTATTAGTAATCCAATCATTGACTTAAATTACTTCGAGGCTCTTCACGCTAATGACAGAAGCAACACAGACACACACTGACGTGAATTGGTCCCAAGGTGTTTCCTGAACTTAGTGAACTTGTCCAAAGGAAGAGGAGCAGAAGGTATTCAACCTGTTTGGCTCATCTGTTTTCAGCTGATGTCTGAGAGACTTGGGAAGATTTTCCTCAGTTCTGTCTCTGAGGACAAGGAATAAAGAGAATAGAAGAGAATCTTTTACTCAGCATTTAGCAGCAGTTCCTAGAGTAGTGGGTAGTAAGATATATTCTCCTTTGAACAGATTTCCAATAAATCTGGAAAGGCACAGGGGGTAGAAGAGATCAATGAACCATGCTGAGTTACAGAATGACCTTACAGCCCACAGGAAGAAGATCTCATTGGTGTTTATTTTTAGATGACAACCGTGTTGAACTGACTTTTCTTTTTTGGCAAAGGCACTAAGAACAGAAGTGGCATAAATAACACCTACGGTGATTTTGAATACAGCAGAAAGGAATTCGGTGAGGCATCCAGCCTCCTGTTAATATACACATATAACCCCAGTAAACATCATTGTAAATTTTAACCATGCAGTGGTAAAAAAATAAATCTTATGCCAAATAAATGACACTACTGGCTATTTTGCATAAGGTTACTAGCAAAAGCTTGTCTCATGAACAAGCTCATGTCTCAAGATTTATGCACAAGTTTGGAGAGGGCTGCGAAAATAAAACATCAGGTGCAGCAGTAGTTGGCAGTGACATAGGTTTTCACTGAGTCTTTAGAAATACAATGAAAAGTAGAGGTAGTTTCAGAAGAGATTGTCAAATAAATGGAAAAGAATGAAAGAAGAGATACAGAGTAAACTCTCCAGTCACATTTTAACATTATTTATTTTCTTATTTATTTAGGCAATTCATTTTTGAGGAAAAATTATGGATGACAAGATTTACTCTCTCAGAGCACAGGGTGCTTTTTGTTTGTGTGAGTACAGTGAAAACTCCACCTTAATTTTGGCTAAACAAGAAGCAACATCTTGACAGTATAATTTCCATAATGTCTGTTTTTATTAATTTCTGTTCTTGAAACCTCAGCTCAGACTCAGATTCAGGAGTCTTTTTTTGTTGTTGTTGTTATTAATTAGAATCTTAGTTTTCACTAAGTGGCAATGAAGTAACAAGTGCTAATGCTTGCAGATATCATGTTGAAAATGTCTTCTCATCTCACTTCATTTTAGGGGGAAGAAAAAGTGACAAAAATGCTTCCTAAACTCTTATTTATTCTTTATTACTGTTTATAATTTAGCTATGTATATAAGGTTTTTACTGTTATTCAGATATATCGTGATGCATGCCTGTTTCTCTGCCAGGGATTATTGATGCTTTCAGTTGCAGTACTGTACTTTTCCCTGTTTAGCATGTTCCATTGTAATAGTCATCTTGAAATCAGAATGTCTTGGCTATATATTGAGTGTTGTGATGGAGAAGAAGAAAAAAGGGATAGCTGCCAATACGAATACAGATATCTGAGCACAGACTAAGCAGGGACATTAATAAGCACTCCTTAAGGGGAGCAAGGACAGCTCAGGCACAGCAGGAACAGCTGCTCCTAACATGGTTGGTAACTGAAATGCTGCCTCTTGAGAGGGAGGAAATGCTGCAGCTTTCTGTGTTTTCACTCTGGTATACTTGGATTTAGGCACTGATTTTCCATGACTAACATATTTGATCCCCAGTGCATTTCCAAACTTTTTTTGGTTGAAGTGAGCATCCATGGGAGCCCAGGGGGCCTTTCCTTGAAGATTTTCTTTTTACATATCCCATTTTATTGATTTATCCCACAAGGAAAAAATTAACTTTGTAAAAGAGATGGGGGAACTTCCTCCTCTCATTTTCAAAATTAATCTGAGAAACAGAAGAGGAATAGTCCTTAAAGTGCTAAATAGATCTTTAAGAATTTGTGAAAATAACATAGGAAGTGAGAGGGAATATTTCTACAGATATTTTTGCTAAAATACTAGTAACATGTGAGAGTCATTCTGTGAAGACATAAAATTATGATCCAATTAAAACCAGATGACAGGGGAAAAAAAGTCATTCTGAGTCTAGACAAGTTTAATGACTCAAATTCATATAAACTCAGTTAAATATGCTGACATAGGTTTTTTTCATTAATTCAAGAATAAACATTGTGCTTGTGCTTGAAAGGAAAGTTCAATGTGTTATATTTTGCATACTTTTTCTGCTTTTTATTAAAATACAGAATAAGAAATAAATGAAAAAATATTCTAAAGAAAAAGAGTGTGAAAAAATTGAGCATGTGCTCTCTGTAAAGGACAATATTAATTCTCATATTAAATTATAATTTAATTATAAAGAAAAAAGATTAAATACTCTGTTTATGGCTCTTGATACATACTGGATGGGATTTATAATTAATTTATTTTATAAGATGGTCCATACCTTTACAAGAAATTATCATGCTCTGTTAAGCTTTGTAGGATCTTAGCATATATTTATACAAAATTCAAGTGCTATCAGCCCTGCTTTGTTCAGTGGAACTTTTCACAAATCTGCATTTTGCAAAACTATTCTGATAATAATAGAGAGGAAAAGAGGAAGTCCCACTATAAGCTGTAGAACTATGTTTCAAAAGTTTCATGGACATGAGCAGGAAAGGCTGTGTGTAACTTTTATATTAGATGAAATAGGTTTTGTGTTTGGTTCCTATAGCCAATGGATACAGCGCAATTTGTGTCCACACAAACAACCCCCCCTCCAACCAAAACATGTTGATGACATCCAAACAGCCTATTGGGAATGGTTTCAAACATGTCATCCTTTAAAGCATTCCCAGACATGCTAGTAATCATGGTAATTTAGTAGTTTTGCTAGTTCTCTTGGACTAAATATACCAGAAACCAGGCTAACAGGTTAGCAATATGAATGATTATATATCTTTAAATTTTCTGAAGATATAACTGTAAATATTAGATAACTAATACAAATTACTTAGTGGGGAGAAGCAAAACCACAGGGATCCTCAATGTTCAGGAGGTGATAATTGTAATACCTTATTTTGACTGGTAGCTTATACAAATTCCACTAAGTGAAAGCACAGCAACAGCAAATGTAACTACAAGTCAGCAATACAACAACCAAACCCAGCTAATGACTACAGACAATTATAGCAACAGGACAATGAGTTAATCATAAATTAAACATGGCAATGAATATATATGTATGTGTGTATGTATGTGTGTATGTATCTATCTACCGATCTTTGTAGCAATCCTATAAGCTAAGTAACAAAATTATATAAAAGGCAGTGGATATTTATAATAAACTCCGTAGCACACAGTCATTTGCAGCATAGCATTCTGGTTATGAGTCACTCTTTGGCCATTGGCACCTAGAAGTCACACTGAAAGCATGGGGAAATCCAGGCATATCCTGCCCAGTATGTCATGCTTATTGAAGAAAATGCTCACCTTTCTCAGCCCCTGGCACCTGCAATGCTGATTCTCTTCTGCTGACCCCACATTGATGAATTTCTGAGTTGTCTTTTATGCCATGACCCACTGGCCTCATGCATTCTCAGCTGTCCAGGCTGTCCTTCTGCTGTCTTGCTGAATCCATTCCAGTTCAAACACAAAGAGACTGGGGAGGCAGTTCTTTGAAACTGGCAGAGAGACAGCTCTTCCCTTTTCTTTTTTTATAGCTGTCTTAGCCATGAAGTTATTGCAATGTTCTATTCATTATGCTGTCTCAGCAGCTTGTTAGTTCAGCAATTCTGTTATAGTCTACAGATATTTTAAGGCCCACCAGTCATGCTTACTCAGCGACTGTGTCAGCCTCTGTCCCACCTCAAGCAACGTCAGATGCAGTTTTGCAGAATTTAGCAAGAATTGTACTGTTCAGTGCTCCAAACCCATGAACACAGAGGGAAAAGTGATATATTGTGTCCCATCTTTGCTCAGCAGTTGCCTTCCCAGCAAAAACAAGATGTGCCAAGGTTTACTGGTCTGTATTGTAGTGGCTTCAGACACTACGATTCCTTTGTCAAAAAATCAGGATCCCCTTTGCCATTTTGGATTTCCTCTTGCAGCTATCCAGTCTTATCATTTGAGTTTCAGGTCTGTTCAAGCATAGCCAAGAAAACAATTCTTAATCAACACCTTTCTGGGTCACTGGAACTCCTTGTCAGCAAACATGTTTCAGGTGGGACTGCAGGAAAGTCATCATGGTCTTTTCCTTTTCCCTGTATGATGTTAGCCTTTGCCACTCTGAGGCACATGATGACCACTTGATAACCTTATTTCAAAACCACATACAAATACCTTTGCCACTTCTGAGGTAGGTGAGATTGATTGATTTCTGCATAGAGAAATCTCCGCAACTCCAAGTGAAGATGATGGGAAGGCACATTACTTACCAGTGACTACAGTGCTACACAGGCTCTACACAATGACCAAATATGTTGCCGTATGGTCAACATCCAGGAAATTCTTCCCTATCCTGAAGGATTTGTTTACTGTTTGATCAAAGGCCGGAGTAGGGCAAAGAGCAGATGGTGGCTTCGGTGTCTGCAGAGTGACAGCACCAGGATTAGCCCCAGTGTAAACAAGCAGAGTGACAAGCCAAGAGGAGGAGGATTTGGTTGACAAAAAGCATTTCCACAGGTCACCTGCTGTAAAAATAGCATATGGTTAAGGAGATTGCAGGCTGCTGTTTGGATTTAACATGGTCTGTGCTCCTTGGCACCAAACATAGAATAAAAGATTTACCAAAAAAGCAGCACTGAGAAAAAGAACATTCTGTGTTTCCAAAGGAACCAAAAAAATAAAATAAAAATAAGAAATGTAAATAGCTGAAGAGATTTCCTGACCTTGGGAACCTGAGATTCCGCCCCCCATGATTTAAACTCTATACAAGTGCCTGAGAAACTTCAAATATTGAAAATGTATTCAAACATTAATACATAAAGTGTCACATTTATTCTACACTAGAGGAATGATGCGATACCTGATGTGGTTAAAATATCCCCCCCACACTAATATTTGAATACCAGATGTAAATTTTTTGTGCACCTTAAGCTCCTTCTCAGGTCTGCATGTGCAGATGGAAGTAATAATTTTGTGTTTTAATTAAATATAGAATGCACACCCACTCTTTGCACATTAAATGTTAATGACAAGACCGTGACATAAGTGTATATTTATTTTTTTAATAAATGTGGTTCATGGATTTGAAGGTTCTGTTGGCATCATAGACTATTTTCCTCCCAAGTTTTATTAGTGTTTTCCCAACCTGTTTCATATTTCTCTAAAATGAGGCCACTGCCACTCCCAAGCACACTTTCTGCTGGTGGTTACAATCAAAGGAATAGCTGACAGAAGACTGAAGTAAGCAAAGAGAAGAATATTTGCCATGCAAAACTTAATTGTTGCTGAAGTTAATTAAATTAAAATGAAAGTCCTGGAAATTCTTGCACTGCACAGAAGTTTTTACTGAGATGTCTTTTGCTTTTGAGTCTGGTTTGTTTTTTCTTACATACCAACTCCCTGATGTACAGTCTTCTTTGCACATTTAAATTAGTTGGTTGCTCAATATCACTTAACAAGATTCTAAACCAGAATTATGAAGCATTCATAATGACCTTTAGAGCTTAAGTATTCCTCTAATCTATCCTTTTACCATCGATAAAAGATTTTTCCGGTAAAGAAGTAATTTAAGCTTAATATCTTTTAAATTTTTCTAATCTAAATAAAAGCATATTTTAAAACATTTTTTGTGGGGGAAAACAGTGAATTGAGTGGTATTCAAATGTTTATAATGAATTTCACATATTGCCCTAAAATTGGTTTAAAAAATAAACAAAAAATCCAACCATCATACTCTTTGAATAAGCTGTAGTGGTTAAAAAAAAAAAAAAAAGAAGAATTCAAGAGTTTTTAAAAGGGTAAGAATCAGAAAATAGAACAAAACCAAGGCAAACCTATGGTTATCTGGTGAGCTCGTTTTATCTTAATGAGGGTAGAGGCTTAAAGCATAACTGCAGTTTCAAGAGGAAAACATCAGTGGAAAGATGTCAGGGTGAAGGATGGTGAAGGAAAAAAGAAAGAGCCAGTAAAGGAAGATGGGGGTTAGTGGAGGAGAGAGTGGTGTAGAGCAGGGATCAGAAGTAGGAATAGAAATTTTCTCATCAACAGAGCCAAATTCAGGCTGCAGAATGAACTGCAGAAAAGTGGAAGTGAGAAAATAAGCAGTCCCAATATTAGTATTAACAGAACCATAGACCACAAACTCTACTGGTAACAATTACTATCATTGAGAACAAGAGCAAATATTCAGTCTCTGGCTATCTTCTCACAAGGATGTCATTTGGTGTAAGACACAACTTTATTCTGTGGATACATACATACTTTGGGAGTTTTAAAAGGCTAAATCAGTCTGCATAGAGTTTTGAGTTAATCAGGAGTTGGTAGCAATAGTTAGGACAAAATTCATCTGTGGACTGACTTCATTGTCTTTCCTAGCATTGTGCCAGAGCTAATACATGGTCCCTGTTGCACAGTGACCTAGATAAAATTTGAAAAACAGCCTTGAAATGAAGGGCTCTCTTTTTATTTTTCTGTGTGAATTATCATGGCCCTTTTATAAAATTGTTGGCGTTACTTTTTTTTAAACTTAAATGCATAAAGCATTCAATCTAAACTTTTCTCACCTCTGTTCCTTGCCCTATTCTGCTGCATTCCTTTCTCAACCAGCATTTACTTCTATTTTCAGGTGTTTTAAGAAGCAAAAGACAAGCCAAGAAATTAATGTAAAGCTACACTCTTTTACTAATTCTACTTCTGTACATCTTGCCCCAGAATACATACAGCTGAAGAGTTATTATTTCATGAAACAGCACATTGCTCTGATTACAGCATAATTAATTACTAATACCTACAAATAAAATCCATTAATGCTGCCAAAAATGGCAACCTTCATCAAAGCACTATGGAGAAACGCACTAAGAACTATGTGGGTTATCTTAGTGGATTTATAAATTTTAAAAATTCAACCACTGATGTTTCATATCCTGTGGAAAATTTTAGTATCCACAAAGAAAAAAAATTGGTGATACTAGTTCCATTCTTTAAAAACCTAAAATTATTATAAGAAAAATAATTAATGTTATTCTTTATTTTTAATGAAGCTGAAAATATTTCTCCCCTAAATTCTGCTTATACAGCTGAAGCACAGAATTTAAGTGACTCTGTCTGACTTAATGTGCCAGTGTCAGGTAATGCTCTTCCTGAGACACCAAGCAAAGTACTGCAGCAGATGTCTGTACTACTCCTGCACAGTCACTTCCAAAACATCCACAGAGTAAACAGGTAGAAAAAATAAGAGAACTACTAAAATATAAAATGTTTAAAATTTGAAGTGTGCTCTAGGTTTTGACTCTGTTGATGTCTTAGTATCTTCAAGTACAAAGTATATATATATATATATATATGGACAAGTGTGACAAGGTGCAGCTAACTGGAAAATAGTTCATTATTCATAGCTTAGTTTAGCGCTTTATAGCTTTCTGAGAAAAAACTGTCCTATTGTAAAGAGAGAGGTCATATGGAAAAATTATTTTAAAATTGTACCAGATCACATAAGCCTAGAGACGTGCACAGCAAAGAACGCCTTGTGCTCAGGCTGGATCTGTAAGAACTAAAGTATGTGCTGAATTGTTAGTATCAGATGTAACCACCACTGAATTTGGAGTATCTCTTATCAGTACTAATTCATATTATGCTTTCTAAGGAAAATGCAGAGCATATTGTAGCTACTGAGGGTTTTTTCTTTTATCTTTAGTTGAAATCTTTTTTTATTATCAGTATTCATTATAAAAAACTTGCTCCAGGAAAAATGTCTTCCCCCCTCCTCTATAAATACCTATTAACAGAGTAGTTAGTGCATATTTGTAGATGATAAAACAAAATGAAGCATAGATTCCTCATCGGTAATTCTACAGGGACAGCCTTGTTGCATGAATGTGAATGAACAGGAAAAAAGATCTTAATTCCAAAAAACAAGAATAATTTCCAGATTTTCCTATGTTAAATCACCATTTTAACAGTAATCCATATGAATGAAAAACCTTCATAAAAAAACATTGCCTGTCAGCATTTGCAAAACTGGAAGGCACTATCCCCCCAAAAATGAGCAGTCTTCCATATACAGATTCTATAATATTTAACCTGTTAAACAAGCAAACAAAAAAAACAAACCAAAACAAAAAAAAAATCCAACCAAAACCAGGCTACCAAATCAGTCAGTCAACAGATGAGAAGGGCACAAATGGTTCACATTGACACCAAGCATTACATGTAGCCAGATTTGGACCTTACTGAGCAAAAATGTATTGGGGGGGGGGTCATTTCTCTGTGCATGTGATCAAAATGTTTGATTTATACTGTTTGCCAGGCTAGGATACAAAAAGAAGGGAAAGCATCTCTTCATTGTTTTAAAGGTTATTACTTCAAAATGCACCCTAGCTGACTAGGTAAAGGTGAGTGAACTTTTCAAAGTGCAGGTTTCAACTGAAACTTACTGACTAAAATTCAGTGAGGTAAAATATTTTTTTTTCACTGAGTACAATTTGTTGCAGTGAAATTCATTGTAAATAGGAGATATTAACTTAGAACAC